CCGATTATCGTAAAAATAAGAAAAAAAATACCAATCCACTTATTCTTGTTAGTTGCGTGTGAAAGTGGAAAATCCGGGTATTACCAACATTTATCTGACAGGCGAGTGAGTGAACGCGCAAATAAATATAAATAGAGAGTAGTTTTAGTGCGAAAATGAAGCGTACAAGTGATAGAGACATAAAATGGCAAAGTCGCTGAGAACAGACTTCAGTATGAAGTGGCAGAATGTTAGGTGTAAGTAAGAAGAAGAAAAACCAAAGAAGTAAAAATTACAGTGAACTGAAAGATTCCGTTGAAAATCTATGGATGATTTCCGAACACGCACTAATGGAAAAAATCCAAGTTTTGCTCTTAAACTCTCGCACTGAATAAAGAGGGCTTCAAACTGAGTCGTAGAGTTCTTAAAAACTTGTTTTTGCTTTTTTTCTGTCATTGGACAATAGACAGTAAATGTATAAATCGTACCAGAGCAATTAAAAATTCCGGCTTATGATATTTATTTCCGGATTGTGAGGATTGATGGAGAGCGGCAGTACTCTTGCGAATATCAAAATTCTTCGCTGGGGTGTCATTGAGCAAAGCCACAGGTGTGCCTCTTTCAAATCGTTCCTCAGAGAATTTTAATGTCACTGCGTCCAAAACAGGGGAACAGGTTTCTGAAAGTGTACCATGCATAGACCTGCGCTGACAAGAGGAGTTCTACAGACCACAGAAAAGGATTTCTCTTACCTTAGTTTTGCCACCACATTCAAAATCCTTCTCCTCTTCTTCTGAGCTAATGAAAGCAAACCCTCGACGGCACAGTGAGTCAAGCTGGCTCCCGAAGCACACCTTTTGCTAGCGCATAATCCGTTTTCGACCCCGAAGAAAATTAGATTGCACTGCCTCACCGCTCTCCTCCAGCACGCGATGCTGATCGTTGACCTAATCAACTGTAGTGATGATTGGGTCCTACAGAACCCATGAACTCTCCACAAGTGCGGTTGGAGTTCCATCCTTCCTTTGTGCCATCACCCTAAGGATTATAGTTTTATCCTAAGCTGCCAGGGTTGGTGGGTATACCAGCGGGTATTTTTACTATCATATACCTACTCCCCGAGAACCACTTATGCCATTCGGGATACACTCGCAGCAGGATTTTTAGTCGGACCCTTATCCTTTAGAAGTCTTGAAAGATGCGACTTAAGGGTGTGCCAATTAAAATAATCTTGAAAGAAAGCAGCTCTTCCTCACTTAAATATATTACTTGAAGTAGTGCGAGGCTGGGAGGCAGCTGCTGAAAGGAAGTACTGGAAGGGCTGTAAATTATTTCCTGCAGGAACTCTCTGCCAACCTCAAATTTAAGTCTTACAGGTTACTGAAGTGTTTTCTGATGTTTCCCAGAGGCAGGTAACCGCTATAATGGCGATATCATATCCAATAAATACTCAGGAAGAAAGGACCTCCGAACTTATACACGCACTAGTGAATGCCTAGCGGAAGAATAGGAGAATATTTTCTCTAGACGAACTCTCCACCAACCTCAAATGTAGACTACCACACTAATGCAGTGTTTTCCAGTAGGAGCGGTCTACCAAACTGGTAGTAAACAGTCACTGCTGACTGCCAAGAAGCACACAGAAAGGAGGGGAAGACCCAATGACTTTCTGCAGAGGCTAGTCGAAGCTTGTCGAAAGGTGGTGCTGTCTTCTACCGCCAGCTGCCAACCAATCTCTATTGCAGGCTTTCATATTCCAACTTCCACAACTCCTCCGGTCATAATGGTGGAAAAAACCTAACCCGCTAACCATGAAGGAACCAGCCTTTGGGTTCAGGCACGCGTTTTCCAATTAGACTTTTGTGTTGTAGAAATCCATGGTTTGCCTTAAGATGAGTTCGCTAAGAGGGAAATGTGCTAGCATAAGGTCTGTCGATCACATAAACCGTAGTCGGTCAAGTGAGCTTCTGGGCCTCAAAAATGCCGCTACTCTAGATGTTGTCAGGAAGCTAATTATCACACTTGATCCAAAGTGTCACAGCTGCATAAAGTAGGAAAAGTGCAACCACATATGACTTTTTTCTAAGCTGTCCAACCTTGTGAAGCTGAAGCTCGAACCGTTTGGCCCTAATAGTAGTTCTGAGAAAGAAGCTCTATATACACAACTCGTTTCTTTATAGCTTAACAGTTACCTTTCTAAGTATTTCCGCATAACAACGGGCATATTTTGAATGGCTTTTCTTAACACTGCTTACGAGTTTTTCATATAACATCCATTGAATTTATGCTCATTTCCTGTTGTTTATCTTAATTTAATTTCTCAGCATCTTCCTCTACTCAATTCCCCAGTACCCATTCTTCACTTACTCAACTCGCGTAACGAATTTATTTTCATTAGCGCATTACCTCATTTCAGTGACATTTGCTTTTTGGGTATTTGCCACTTGAGACTGCAAATCCAGTGTCCGTGAAAATGTGCTGGGTATTGCGGATTTTTGTTGCTGTTTGTCTTCTACGTTGCTCTTTCCGCTCGCAGTGCACTTTTCGTTCGTGCCACATTATTGTCACATTAAATGGAAACGGAATGACTAGTCGAGTTATGTTAGCATGAATTCGCGCACGAATCGAGTTAAGATGCTGAGCTGAACTGACGACTGAGCTGTTGTTGACTAACCTCACACGCCAAGTAAGTAGACAGCTAAACCTGTTGGCGTATACATAGGACGAGGACGAGTTTGTAAGTAAATAAATATGCTTACAAAACAACATTGCTTGTCTGGTCCTTACAATGCCGTCGCTTACTTGCTTGTGTGTCTATTTCTATTTGTGAGTTGATTTCCGGTTGGAAGTAATCAGGCGATTTATCCGCTAGACAAGTTGTGGTGAAGAGCACTTGAGCTCAGCAAGCTTCCTGGGCAATGTTTGCCAAATAGCAAAAGCAACAACAACAGCGCAGTAGGTTGAGCAAGCACAACAAAAACCAGCGCACTTCCGTGTGCACTACCAACAGAAATATATTGCTTTCATTGAGGAGGCTGTTTTCTTGCGTGCTTGACTGGCTTGGCTTGAGGAGCTCTTGAGATTTGATGCGCGATAAGACAAGATAGTTTTAAGTGCTGTATGTAACGGACAGTGAAGAGGTTTACCTGTTTGTATTGGATGAATGTGAACCATTTTGCTTGAAAAGATTTAGGCTCCTGCAAATGGGCATTCAAAGGGCTGTAGCCTCGTCAAGAAAAGTATTAGAACCTAACTTTGTTCTTCGAAGAAATCATAAAACTTAAAGGTGTGGAAGGTAGAAAAGCATTAATTTTGTTCGCTTGAAAAAATTCTAGAAGGTAGTAGCTCGCGTTGGCAGTTTGATCAGAGTTGATTTATTCTTTGCGGCTTAGTGGACGCTCAACAATAGAATCGCATGAGCTCTTCTGTATCCCGTTCGTCATCATGCAATTTGAACTGGAAGAAATGTGCTATTTATAGTACTGTTCAATAGTACAAGGGATCTTCTAGCTCACATAACAAGAACGCAATTTAGTCTTGTATTTTACCCTACTACATTGTCTAGCGTACGAACCCTACGACACTAAGCGTCAGTAAAGTACGAAATATTTTACGGGGTATTGGCGAAACTGATGTAGATCAACCAGATGGATTTATAATGAGTGAGTCGGTGCGTCTTTGTTCTAAATTATTTTCAGATTTTGTGAACAAACGGAGTAAAGAATCCTTCTTTGACTCTCCGAAGGCTGAAGAAAGGTAGCTTACGTAAGATCATTTATAGCCCGAGAGGAATGCGATAACGGTGTTCAAATCTCAGCATATCGTCGGCATACTTTCCATTTTCAGAAGTATTTTTCTACGATCTTCTGCTGACTGTTGTCAAGCCCTAAGCCTTTAGTAAACCCCGCTTGGTACCAAATATGGCAGAGTATCTTAATGCATTTACGTTTAATTTGTAATTTCCTTCCCACCGGAAAACTGGGCGCCACATGTCTGAAAGACACCTTCAGAGTTTGAGGGCACTAGGCTCATCTGAACTTTGGGATTAGGTTGCTTTAATGTGCCTTTCTCTACGAATGACACACTCGGACAGCACTGACTTGTCCTTTGTAGTATAATTGATCTTAATTCTATCGATGTCAGATAACCAAGCCGAAAGAGGACGCGGACTCAAAGCGAACCGGGTCAAAACTCAAAAGTTGTTCTTTCTCTGTTGAAGTGGAACCTCACGTGATAATACATAGATTTACAGCCAGTTATTCAATGCCAAGTTAAAACTTATCTCCAGTTAAACATCGTTATCGACGCTAGCCACTACCTGTCTTTTTCGCATTGGAGATTAGTGTTAACCAGGCATAAAGTGGTGTTAACCAACCCTAAGGAAGATACTAAAAAGCGCCTTTCGTGGATCAGCGAATCAGAAATACTATACAATAAAGCATGTATATTCAACAATTTTTATGAGCTCGAGGCCGTACTAAGTGCAAATTTATTGTGGAAAAGCAACAATAATTTGAAAAAATGGTAGAAGTGATAGCTATTTCGGAAATCACCACATTTCCTCATCAGACTTCTTTCAGTAGGATTCGAACCGACGATCACCATTGACTCAGCCAGTTGCCTACGCACTGTGCTAAGTTTGTCTTGTTAATTCTTGTTGCTTTTCCACAATAAATTTGCACTTAATACGGCCTCGAGCTCATAAAAATTGTTGAATATAATTGTTATAAGGCCATAAAAATAACAAAAACAAAGCATGTATGGTAATGACTTAAGGGTAGGATCTGAGGCCCGTGAATGCGTATAATTTTTTGGTGGGCCAATAGTGGCGTTTGTGAGACCTTTGATGTTCCGCCGAATCAACCCAACCTAGCCTATATTAACAACTATAAGGAAATAATTTAAAAGTGATAAGAAAATATGTTTATTTTGTAACAGCAATTTAATTTATGATCATTGGTTTGAATAAGAAAGCTCACTTTTATGAAAAGTTCATCAACATATTTTTTTTATTCTTACAGGGAAAAACTGAGTATCAGCAGTAAAACCGGACGGGAAGCCTTCAACTACTTCAAGCACTAGGTGAGTGTAAATCATGATCTTGATTTCGAAGTCAAAATTTCAAATAGTAGCTTAAAACATAATTGAATACATGTTTCCAATCATGCTTATGCAAATTACGATTTGCCTTCTTCGATTACACCATTTTTTTCTTTCGCTTCATTCTCCTAAAAAAAATGTAGTGCCACTCTTAGCTGACCAGATTTCAATCTAAAAACTGAGTTAGCAAGCGGCTCATCTGCTTGCTCTATACACCAACAGCGGTTACAGCGATAAGATTTATGTGCAACATGCGGCACAAAAGTAGCAACAGGCGAGCAAACAAATAAGGATATAAACACGGGACGGCCGAGTTGGCCTGGCAGGCAATCTGGGCACCTGAGAAGGATTACAGGGCAACCTAAAAAAAAAAATGAAAAAAATGTAGGCGAAAAAACAAGAAGATGAAGAATAAAACCAGCCAAGCCAGGGAGAAGGCGGCAATCAACCGCGCGGCGGAGACAAATACTTGGCATACAAAAGAAAACAAAACATACACGGAATGCAAGGCCAGAGCGCATACTGCTTCCATTTTCACCATGCTCCTCAATCCTTGCCATATCTCTCGCCACAAATCCCAGGCACATTTTTGTCAAGTGGTAAATTACTAAAAATTTTTCAACGGAGTAGCAGAATAAAACTAGCAAAGAACGAGGAAGAGTGTAGGAAAATTATGTGTTAGGGGCAAAGTGAGAGTACGAAGGCGAGCATAAGGAAGCAGGAGCGAACAGCGACATACAAGCATTGAATGTCACGGAACTAAACGGCGCAGCAACGTGATGAATGGCAGGTGGAGATGTGCAAAGAGAAGAACCAAATGTATTGTAAGGGTAAACGAGCGACTGATGCGTGGTCTATAACGGACTTGGAAACCCACAGTAGCTGCGATGCAGCGCAGAAAGACGGACGACCAATACAAAGGAATGGAAAATCAGAAATAAAATATGAAAAGGTTCGAGAAAATCCAGGTTAAAATACGAATACGAATGAGCGAAATAAATTTAAAACGAAAGGAATGAAAATAAAAGAAATAAAAAGAAAAAAGGGGGAAAAATTGGAGCGAGAATGGTCGCATCCTTGAGTGCATGAAGATTGGTTAAAAAATAAATTATTTTTACGTTGACAAGTAGAGCAAGCTGCTGTTTATGAGGTGGTGGGTGATGAAGCGGCTACGCACAAATGAGACTCATTAAAAATAAGCTATGATTATTATTTTAAAGAGAAGAAAAATATCTTTTAATGTGCACTTGAAAATTTCACAGAAGATGCGGGAAGAATACTGATAAATGCGAACTTTCGGGGTACAATACCAGCAAAAGAATCGTTTAATTTAGTTTAGATGAGCTCTTCTGATTTAATTGACATTAGGTATTCTGCAATGGAGATATCAGGTGGCACACGAGAGAGGTAGGACTGATGTGTTTTATTGAATTCCACGGATATCGCTTAGGTGGTTACGTCGTCAAAAAAGAAGTACCTTTCTTTTATATTCACGTTTAGCCTGTTAATTTCTATCGCCGAGTTAACCTGGTAGTAGTCATTAGCAAAATAGCCTAGCCTGAATGAAAGAAGAAAATGCACTGGAATGTAATCACATTTTCCCACTTCACATAAACATCTTCAAATAAGTGAGCATAGAGGCAACTTCTCCGGAACTTGAGCTCAAGGATATCGTTTTTGTTTTGGTTTTAAACCAAGATATGGGCTTCAGACATACCAAATATGGTTCAGAGTTTACGATGGCAGGCCCAATGCCCTCAATTCTTTTTGCTACGTTCCAAATCGCGGGGTATTTTAGGACTTTCTGTGTGTCTGCTAGTTGCCGTCGATAGGATGAGTAATCAAAAACGTCGAGCACTTTCTCTGCCACAGAATGTGCTCCGACATCTTTTCGTCTTCTGGACAAAAAAAAAAGTCCGTTTTCATGATCACGACACTTCGGTGCATGTGAGAACGTAGTTGGTTATGAGCAGTTCGGTGCTTTGTGATCGACCTGATGCCAACTTTGTTTAAAAGATTTGTTTCATTCCTAACGAAAGAATAGCCAAAAGGCATGGCCTACTTAAAACATGCTACCGCTATCCAGTACTTACTGCATTCAGAGTTTACCCACTGCGTAATAGTAAGCCCCAATGAAGACCAACTGGTTCCGGCAATGCTGGAATATTGGAAAGCAGGAAATGAGGTTTAGTTTTCGGAATCGCGATCGGGAGATCCTTTCTTGAGCTGTGCCTAATTTCGATTTCTTAATACTAATAAAGCATTACAATATTGTTTTCAAAAACAGGTGTTGGCATAAATTTTTAACTAGCCACATTGTCGAATAGGGTTGCCACCTATAAAACGTATGGAATAATTTATAATTTCGTTATGACGAGCACTTAAAATTGTTTCAAATATGAAATAAAATCGTTGTCAAAATATTTTGTAACTAGAGTTGCCACCTATGCAAAATTACTAGGCCACGAGAACTTGGGCGATATTGCACTGCTTGTGCAAGTGGGCGTTAATTAATTCGTTTTTAAACATAACTAGCTGAATTTTTCTAAAAATTCTAAATAAAAATTGAAAATTATCGGATGCAAATGTTGAAGTTTGTTGAATTTTCATAATTTTTGTACGAAGTTTGAAAAGTAGATTTATGTGGCGCTGGTTAGGTAAAGTGCTAAACTTTTATAAAAAGAGTATAAACATTAAATGAACAAAAGAAAACCAGCCAAAACAAGTGAAAATGTTACTTGAATTAATAAGCTGACCACAAGTGTACGTATGCATGTACATTTTTAATTTAAGTTTTGCAAATACGTATAAATAAGAAATTTCTGAAATTTTCGACTCCAGCGCCATCTAGCGAATCCATTTTTGTAAATATATTTTTTATTACACCTGCACTATTCGTTTTTCATTTCATCTAAATCGGACCATAAACACTCATTTAGCGGATCCACTCATGCGTCACCATCAGCTATTTCCGTCTCACGGGACTAAGGAATATACTCTCCAAATTTGGTTGAAATCTGTTCATTAGTTTTTGAGGTAATTTTTTGTGAAATCTATGATGTGAGTATTATCATCGTTTACCAGCACCTTTACTGCACTTAAATACTTTTTTTATTAAAAAAAAAAAAAAAAAAATAACCGCATTTTCCTTACCCAGTATAAATACAGATTAATTCAATGCCTGTGTATGCTGCGTAGTTTCAGCAGAAACAGATCCCTTCAATAGCCAAATTGTCTTGTAATTATCTTGAATACAAACAAAAAACATATTGTCAGAGAATTTCAATAAATTAAAATTTCTTTTGAAATACACGTACACAAATTCCAAAGAAATTTTCGGAAATCTACTATTGACGAGCAATAAAATGGCAAATGGCACATTTGCTGCAAGTCGATGGCACTGTTGGGGGTGGTGTTGGTGGGGAAGCGGGATTCAGCTGCTCGACAAGTTAATTGACTTCTACATAAAAACAGAATAGATGCAGAGAGTGAAAGAAAAGGGGAGAAGAAGAATCTACATTCACATATTTTTGAAAAGAAAAAAAAAACTGCAAATACATATGCATGTATGTTTATATTTTTGAATATGTATGCATCTAAGTATATATGAATGCCTGCCCGTGCGTTTGTGTTTACGCAAAAAGCTTTTTTAGATTTGGCTGCCTGGCCTGCAGCTTGCATGCCATTTGAAACGATCGACAAGTGGCCGCCCAAATATTTGGCGTGTGTGTGTGTGGGTGCGTATTTATTGAAATTCCACAAAATGAGAGAAAAACATATTGCATTAATTGAAATTTGAATGCATTTTTGGATCACGGTTCATTCATTATTGTGATACCCAAATGGATTTTTTTTTAATTTTTATTTGCTTTTGGTCTTAAGTCTTTTCATTACTAATTGCTTTCCATTTGAATGAACTTCGCTGTGGATTTGTTTTGTACAAGCTTTTGTTAAGTTTCATCTGGATGGAATCAAATCTTGCTATCAATTTTTAACCAACTTCCCGTTGCGGTAGAGACTTAAAACTTCAAACTTAGTTCAAAACCCGATGACAATGCAATACGAAAGTAGATTAGGTGGGACATGAGGCGCGATATTTGGATAATCCCTATAGAAAAATGTCTCCTTATAAAGCTCTTTAAATCTATATTAAAAAATACTTTAGGGCCGTTAAATTATCTATTTTAAAGTATTGTAAACTCAGTAAGTAATTAATGATTTAGATATACTATAATGGAGAAAACTTAACGTTCCCAAATGTATTAAAAAAATCTTAAATTAAAAATAATTCATTAATGTTTCAGATTCTAAAAATTGTAACAAAAAAAAAATTTAAACAAAATCAAATTTCTTCAAAAATTTCACGAAAAAATTGGAAATTTCTCAATAATTTAAAATTGGAAATTTCTCAAAAATTAAAAATTTTTTCATAACATTTGCATAAAATGCACAAAAAATACTATAAGAAGATGAAAAGTTTATCAAAAAGTGGTATGAATTAAAATCTCATAAGGAGCTAAAATTAAATTTTTAATTTTTTTCTTATAATTTAATATTTTAATAATACATTTTTACGTCCAGAGTTAAAGAAATGTATGGATGTATAAAATGCCGGATATTTGATAAAAGATTAGACGTAATAAAAAAGTTAAAATTCTTTAAAAATTTCACACATTTATTGGAAATTTGCCATTTCTTTAAGAAGATATACATTTCCATTGGGAGTAGTATGCGGACAAATGTTTTAAAAAGTTAAAACTTTAAACTTCTGTGCGAAAATTTATACAAAATTCAACATAGAACATGTTACTAGAATATATGTATGTTTTAACAAAACAGATTTAAATTTCTTTGAAAGTTTCGCTCAGAAATTGGAATATCCCAAAAATCTTAAATTTTTTTTTTGTAAAATTTTCATAAAATGTAGTGCCAAATATTTATTAAAATTATTAAACGCAATAAAAAAGAATTACAATTCTTTA